GGGGCTGGGATTGTGGCTCAGTGGTAGAGCGCTCACCTAGCACAGGCGGGACCCGGGTTCGATCCTCAGCACCACATAAAAATAAAGGCATTGTGTTGTGTCCATCTACACTTAAAAAAATAAATGAAAAAAAATTAAAAAAAATTAAAAAAAGAGTAATAACTGTCATTTGTAGATATTCTTTATCAAGTTAAGGAGCTGCCTCTATTCCTATGTTATGGCAAGCCATTACTTTCTTCATATTTTATTTGTACTGTTTTTCTCTCTTCTCTGGATACACTTGACATCATACACTGTGAGGGGCTCTGTTGGTTTTCTTTGTTCTTTCATTCCTTTCTGTTCTTTGGATTGGATACTTTGTATTAATCTAACTTCCAGGTCATTGACTCTCCCGCTCTTCTGACATCTGAAATCTGCAGTTGAGCATCTCTGCCAGAATTTCCATTTTGTTTTACATTTGCTGTCTCTTTATTTTCCTTGTTCTTTGAGTCAGTTTGATCACACTCTTCTTGTTTCCATGTTCTTTAAACATGGTTTTATTTGGTTCTTCTAACATATTTATAGTAGCTGTTCTGAAGTCGTCTTCTGCTAACTGTGGCATCTGGGAACACGCAGAGACTGTTTCTATTGACTGCTGCTTATCTCCCCCCGAGTAGAGATCACACAGTTCTTTTTTTCTCAGTCTATCTTGTAAAGTTTTGTTGCCTACTCTGTATTTTAGGTAATACATTGCTGTGGCACTGGGTTTCTTCTTTGTGCCCCTGAAGAATGTGGTGGTGGTGGTTTTGTTAGCTCATTATTTAGAACTGGAATGAGCTAAATCGCCAAGGTCTGTCTCATCTACAGTGTCCGATTTATCTCTGCTCTTTGGTTTTGATTTGTTTTTGTTGTGAAGCCTGGTTTCCTAGAGGGGCTGCCCTGGTGCCTGCACAGCAAGTTCAAGGTCAGCTTGGACAACTTTGTGAGACCCTGTGTCAAAAAAGAGGCCCGGTGGAGGTTGGAGAGAAACCCTAGAAGCCTGGAAGGCTCCGTTCTCTGCGGATGGAGATGTGTGCTGGGCCACAGCCCCACTCCGGGCTGTTTCACATCTGCCCCACCTTGAATTTCCTTTGGCTTCCTCTGTTCTCTGTGTGGGATTTATGTGGCCAGGTCTGGGTGGGTCTGCTGTGAATGCATGTATCCTGCTGTCCACCTGGGATCTCGAGAGCTCTGTGAGCTCCTGACAACTGTTTTACTTCCTGGAAATGCCTGCTAAGTGTCTGGCTGGTGTGCCAGCCCCTTGCTCGCCTCAAATAGAGCAGTAGCCCCAAATAGAACACTAGCCTCAGGCTAGCAGAGCACTGGCCCTTCTTTGCACTTGCCTCTGAGATTGCCACTTGGACTGGCAACACCCTTGAGTCAGATGAGTCCCCTCTGGCAGCATAGTGAAGCTGCTGATTTTCAAGTCCTGCCCCACCCTGCTGACCTTCTGAAGTGA